TAGGAAGTCAAATTCATTCTTCCTCCCTTGGCAGAACAGGTGCTTCTTTCCTCAGCTGGGGCTAGGTCAAGCAGTAGGGTCCATGTCAACAGTTCTCACAAAGAACAGGGTCATTTATACCAGGACAGAAAGAGTTTTAATTTTATGTGGAGCACCCATACCTTCTCCACTTCTCAAGTCTTGGCCTCTGTCTAAGGGACACTGCAGAGGCAGTGCCTTGATCCTTTGGTTCCTGGTTCTCAGGGCTCGCTGTGCTGTGACTCTGAACAGTCCTGAGTCTTTATTCACCCCACCCCATCTCAATACCTGCTTTGGAAGAACTTTTGACTATGGAAATGTGGCATTTCCATCAGAGATCTGGGTTACACAGGGTTTGTTTCCCTGGCTGTGGTGTGGGATCCCACTGAACAGAGCTTTGCACCTTACAAGCACAGACAGAGAAGACCTTTTTCAGCTGCTTGCTATTTTTTGGTGTTTGTGTCCCTCTTATGGTCCCTCAGTATTCCCTTCAGCTGTTACACTTACGGGGATATGCCAAACCTCACACACCCCCAGCCTTAGTCTAACTCTCTTTTGGCAAAGGTATCGCCAACAACAGCTGTGAAGATATCTCCTATTGTATACACTGACTCCAGGGATGCTCTCACCCATTTTCCCATGCAGTAGCCACGTCTTCCCTCCTTTTGCTTGTGAGTGGGACAGCTCTTCAGCCTGGCTGTGGGTCTGCTCTGCCTGGGCTGGCTCTGACACCTCCTCTCCTCTCCCCTCGTGCAGCGCGCTCTGGGACATCGAGACGGGGCAGCAGAAGACTGTGTTCATTGGTCACACTGGAGACTGCATGAGCTTGGCCGTCTCCCCTGACTTCAAACTCTTCATCTCCGGGGCTTGTGATGCCACTGCCAAACTGTGGGACGTGCGGGAGGGCTCCTGCCGTCAGACCTTCTCAGGGCACGAGTCCGACATCAACGCCATCTCCGTATGTATGCTGGCTGCACAGGGCTAGGGAGGAAAATGGGGGGTGGAACAGCTCTGAAACAGCCGTGGGAGAAGGCTGAAAGAAGCTGTCACAGTCAGCAGGGTAACAGGGGTCTTAGACCTTGGCCGCGTGATCCAGCCTGAAGCAGGGAGTGGCCAAGTTCACTGAAGTTTGGAGGAGGGTTCTCCCCAGACACCAAAGCATCCAAGTCTTGGTCAGGCAGCACTCCATGGTCTGTGGAGCTGAGCACCCTGACACAGGTGCTGGTCCAGCTTTGCTTGCAAGAGCTCTTGGGAGCTGTGGTTCAGGTATGCTCCAGCAGCGCTGGCACAGGTGAGGCAGCAGAAATACCTAACTCAGCTAAGGTCAGCTCCAGACAGAAGAGGTGGGAGATCTTCTGAAGATTAAATTTTCGTGGGAGGCAGCTCAGACATTTGAGAGGAAGCACCTCCCTCAGAGCTGCTGAGATGGCAGGACAAGACACATGGCAGACTATTCCTTGTGCTAACCAAATGCTGGCTTCCTGCAGTCTGTTGCTCAAACCACCCTCCATTGACATCAATTAGTTAAACCTTTCTCAGTTGCCCCATGGCTACCTTGCCAGCCACATGGTTTTCTGCCATACCTGCTCCTGAGCAGCCCTTTATTTACTCCTCAGAGCAAGACCACAGAAAATGAGCATGTATGAGAAGGCTGGGATATGAGGATCAGACAGAGGAAGGCTCTGGTAGCCAGAATTATGTCAGCCCTCAGCTGGGGGATAATGGGTGGACACTTGTCAAGGCCCAGCCTAACAGCTGGAGTTAAACTAATCCTCCCTCCAGCACTGAGATATCTTGCAATAGCTCTAGCCCCTTAGGCCATTTGTTTTCTTGGAGTGGAAGGGGTTTATTAGACCTTATGAGAAGAACCAGTCTCCCCCTTCAGCAGACTCAAATTTTATGATCCAGTGTATGGTCCCCACCAGCTTTTCCTGCCTCTGTGGCTTCCTGGTGGTTAGCAGACGGGCACCTTATGAGAAGAACCAGTCTCCCCCTTCAGCAGATTCAAATTTTATGATCCAGTGTCTGGTCCCACCAGGTTTTCCTGCCTCTGTAGCTTCCTGGTGGTTAGCAGTTGGGTGATGAGTTGAGGAATTCCATTGGGATCTGAGGAAATGCTCATTAAAACACGGTGTGTACCCTCCCCAGTTCTTCCCTAACGGCGAAGCCATCTGCACCGGCTCCGACGACGCCACGTGCCGCCTCTTCGACCTGCGGGCGGACCAGGAGCTCATCATGTACTCCCACGAGACCATCATCTGCGGAATCACCTCCATCGCCCTGTCCCGCAGCGGGCGGCTCCTCTTTGCCGGGTACGACGACTTCAACTGCAACATCTGGGACTCCCTGAAAGCAGAGCGCGTGGGTGAGTGGCTCCTCGAGGCCCCTCTTTCCCTCCCTGCAAGGCCTCCTGTCCCTGCCTTAGGGATCGTAAGGCACTTATTTTTCCTAAACATAGGAAGACATCCTATACTGACTGAAACCCAGCAAAGCTCCCTCATGCTTAGGGAGCACACCAGAATTAGGACAACTCCCACTGGCCTAGAAGAGATATTGTTTTTAATATTAAGAAAGTCAAGCCTTTAAACAACATTGATCAAGGGGGACAAGAAGGTTCCCATTAGCTAAAACTGCTCACAGCCACCAATAGGATATCCTGCTTCCTCCCAGTCTGCCAGTTCCAGGTACTCACAGTGCCACTTGGTGGCCAGGCACCAAGCCAAGCGTGCACCTGGGCTTCCATCCAACATCTTTGGGTACTCTGCGATGCTCACACACAGAACACAGCATTTTTCTTTCAGATGTGGCCCTTACCCTCTGAAAAGTCATGAAACACAGCCCACCAACAGCACTGCTGTTTCTCAGCCTTACCAAGGACCCCATCCTGTCTTAGTCTTACCATCGCTCCGGGGTGAAAGCAGTTGTGTGAGGATTCAGCTGGCCGGGTGAAAGCAGTTGTGCGAGGATTCAGCTGGCCAGGTGAAAGCAGTTGTGTGAGGATTCAGCTGGCCGGGTGAAAGCAGTTGTGCGAGGATTCAGCTGGCCAGGTGAAAGCAGTTGTGTGAGGATTCAGCTGGCCGGGTGAAAGCAGTTGTGCGAGGATTCAGCTGGCCAGGTGAAAGCAGTTGTGTGAGGATTCAGGTGGCCATACCTTCCCAAGAGCCCCTTGCGTGGTGGCTGTGCACCACACACAAAAGTTCTTTGGCGTGTTCGCTCCTATTCTCCACGTGCTGACTAAGCAGTTGTGCAGGGACAGGGCCACGCACAGCACGGCCTGCGACACGTGTCCTCAGCAGGGCCACCCCTGTCACCTCTCACAGGCCCCCCTTCGCTCCCTGATCTCTCTTCTTTCCCGCCACAGGAATCCTTTCTGGCCACGACAACAGAGTGAGCTGCCTGGGGGTGACGGCGGATGGCATGGCTGTTGCCACTGGCTCCTGGGACAGTTTCCTCAAGATTTGGAACTGAGGATGGCAGCAGAGAGGGGAAGAGCAGCGGAAGCACGGCCCACAGCCCGAGCCCACACAAAACAGCATCATCAGCTGAGCACAACAGCAATGCCTACCTACCACTCCCACTTGTCTCTAGACACAGGTCACTTGTAGGAGTCTCCCAGAGTGAAAGGAGATCAGGGAGGAGAAGCAGGGGGAGCTGGGGAGCAGGAGCAAATGCACTGGCCCTTCTCTCCACCTCTAAACAGCCCCAGCAGTTTCCAGCCTTGTGCAGGCTTGAAGAGCTGTTGTCTCAGGACTTTGCAGTACAATTCAGACACACTGCACCTTCCTTCAAACGCCTCTACCCACACCGGGACCCATCCTCCTCCTTCAGAGGACCCCTCATGCAACACCCACCCCAGACTAAGCTCTCTCCCTGCTTTAACTCCACCTAACTTCTCTGTGCAGCTGTCCTTGTATCCATGCAGACAGCCCCAGAGACACCCTGGATTTGAGATTTCTATGGCACCACCTCAAACATAAAGCTAGAATAAATTTGGCTCATTTTCACGGGGGAACACTTAGCTCAAGTCCTATCTATGCATAAAGGGGGGAAAGGCAGCCTTCAGACCTGCCAGAATAGCAGGGAATACATTTATTCTTTTGTTAGTTCAAGTCTTATCTATGCATAAATGGCAGAAAGCCCTCAAGACCGGCCAGAATATCAGGGAATATTATATTTATTCTTACTTGTTGTCTGCTTCTTGCTGTTCCTTCCCTCTTTGCCTCACTCCTGCATTGTGTGGTGACCCTGTCTAACCAGTAGCCATCAGCCCATGTTTTCAAGTCTCTTTAGATTTTCATAGCCCAGGCAAATAAAGCAAGCTCACAGAAGCACTGCAGGCTGTGTTCTTTCCAGCATTGCAATGAGCTACTGCAAACAGAACTCCTTTCCTGTGACTATTGCCTGCTGGTCTCAATCAGTCAACACCTCATCCACAGACCTTGCTGTAGCTCACATCCCCAGGGGAGGTTGTTCCTCACATGCTGTAGTTGAGAGGCTGGAGTTGGGATAGCGAGATGAAAGTGCATCCTGTCAAAGCTTGGATATTTTAGCTCAGTTACACAACCATTTTTTTCAGCCCCTATTCCACTTGTTGGCTCAGAGCAACATCCTGGGGGGCCCAAGGCTCTGCTGGGAGAGCTGGAGATCAGCAAGGTTTAGTAACTTATCAGCAGGTCAATATTAATAGACAATACTATCTCACGTTATTTTGGATCTCACCCTCACGACAGACCCTTGCATAACTCAGTTTCAGGTCAGTGTAGGAGCAGTACAACTCCAAAGGTGACACTGGATCGACATCAGCTTCCTGCAGGGAGCTGCAGCTTCCCAGCTCACGCTGTTGTACATGGATTCAAGGCCATATCCTTCAGCACGCTCCAGCCAGGGGACAAGGCAGCTTTAAGGCCAATGGAAAGCTGAACTATTTGTTCCTGAGCCCTTGTCGTGCTGAGCAAGCACAATATCAGGACATACAGTCAGCAAAGGTTGAACACAAATTTATTTACTCGAGATAAAAACTCTATGGAAAAACCAGTACAGCTGATACACAATAAAAGAGACAAAAGTCTGTGCTGTACATTAGACATGACAAGCTAGGAAGAGGAGGGAGAAATCTTTCCCCAACAGGATAGGTGAGAAATGTGACCACTGCTTTGGGGTTTCAGTCTATTGTAGGATTTCTTCCCTCTAGAAAATTCTCAAAACATAGAAGCAAATTACAGCAAGATGCTGAAAAAAGAAATGTCTAGTTCTCCACAAAAGGACACTGCTGGTTCTCCTTGTTCAAGTCACTCCAGGCACAGTTCCCAGATTTAAGGCTCCTGCTCAGATCCACTTCTTTCTTCTCCCCAAGGTTCTCTCCCAACACGTGCCTCTTGCCCTAGAGAAATAAAAAACCCAAACATTGAGTGTAAAATACAAGTTAATCGAAGGTTAGTTAATTCTCAGCAGAATATGTAGCCTACATTTCAGGCCATTCAGCTTGGACTCCCTTGTGACAACGTACAAGAGTGACTTTTTTCTACAACCCAGAGAGAAAGAATGCACTGAAACGGGCAGTTTCACAGTAAGGCCAAAGACAGACACTGAACAAGACTCAAAGGCATTCAGTAACAAGACTGACCCACAGAAAAACACTTGTGAAGTTACTAGTCTCTACAGGCCTAGGAAGCCACAATTCTCAACTGGGACCCTACAAGATACAGAAATTGAAGGATTTGACTTTTTTTTCAGCTTAGTCTCCCTCCCTCAGCATGACCCATTAAGCTTTACCTGGCGAGGGGCAGGAGTACTGGGAGAATTATCATCTTGCAGAATGCTGAGGGGAGAGCGGCCAGTTCCTCCAGATGTTGCCATGAATTTGTTGTTGGGCTTGTGTCTTACAGGCTTGCTCACTAGTTGACAAAAGGAAACACACCAGCACATCACGACAAGGCTCAAAGGTCCTGGATTTTAAATGCCTCCTGGCCTTTATCAAAGACTTACCTAAGGGCTTTGAGGCAAAGGGATCACAGAAAGGTTGATGTTGGAAGTGAACTCTAGAGGACCTACTCCAGCAGGGTCACCTAGAGCCCATTGACCAGGACCATGTCCAAGTGTCTCTTGAATATCTCAACGAATAGAGATTCTGCAACCTCTCTGAGCAACCTGCTCCACTGCTTGGTCACCCTCATGGTGAAAAAACAGTGTTTCCTGATGTTTAGGAGCTTCCTGTGTACCATTCTGTCCCCTTTGCCTCTGGTCCCATCACTGGGCACCACTGAAAAGAGCGTGGCTCTTCCTTCCTTATACCCTTCCTTCAGGTATTTGTATCTATTAACAAAATGCTCCCTGAGCGTTTTCCTCCCCAGGCTGAACAGCTCTCAGCCACTCCTCCGAGGAGCAGTGCTCAGCCCAGAGCTTTCTAAGCCACAGTCTGTATCAAAGTCTCTCAGCACTGCTCATCCTTAGCACAGAGATGTGCTGTCCACCCTTGCTCCACAGCTCTTCCCAAGGAGAAACTGTAAGGTCCCTCTGGACAGGTCTCCACAGTCACAAGCCCATTTCAGAGTGGGGAAGAGTTATCGTATACCTCTTGATTTTGAACACAGGTTAGAAACAATTTCTCATCCCTGCAGAGAAATCTGTTTGATAACACAGCAGCTCCCAGAGGGTCCGCCGGCCGCAGAGGCTCCAGGCGGTGGGACACAGCCGAGCTGGGGGACAGGGACAGGCTCTGTCGCGGAGCACGCCTGGAGAACGCGCCCGGACCAGCTGGTGCCGAGAGCCCCGCGTTGCTCACAGCCCATCCGGGCGGCTCTCCGGGCACACGGAGCCCTGTCACCCGCGCACCGAGCACTTACCCGAGGGGAAGCCGTGCCCGGCAGGGCGGGCTGGCCGGGCCGTGCTGGGCGAGGGCGGCCTCTCCGCCCCTTCTCCCGCGGGCGGGGAGCTCCGCCGGGCCGGCTCCTCGGCGGGGCCCGCCGCTCCCGGAGGCGCCGGCTCGGGGGCCGCGGCCTCGGCGCCGAAGGCCTCGCTGAGCTGCTTCACCAGGCGGTCCACGCTGTCTGCCGGGACGGAGGGGCCGGGTGAGCCGCTAGGCCGGGCAGCGCCTCACCCGCCCACCCCGGCGGCCCCACTCACCACTCGACACGGCTCTCATGGGCGTGCGGGAGATACCGGGCGTGGGCGACCGCGGGTCCCGCTCCTGGCCGGTGCCTGCCGGCGGCTCGGCGGGGCTGGGCTGCGGGCTGCCCGCCAGGGAGCTCACCACCTACGGAGAGGGAAGCCGTGGGGGCGCCGGGCCGGAGCCACGCCGCGGGGAGCGGCGGCGGGAGGGCGCCTACCTCGATGGGGGTGCGCAGGATGCCGGCGGTGGGGGAGCGGGGGTCGCTGACGTGAGCCAGGTGCTTGTTGCGGGGCGCGGCCGGGGTGGCGGGGGCGCTGCCGGAGGCGCCCATGGCGGCGGCGGCCGCACTGCGCCCCGGCCCCGCCGGACGCGCCGTTCGAATCTCCCGCGCGCCGGGCGGTGCCGCCGCCCATTGGTCGCTGATCGGGGGCGGGGTTAACTCAGCCACGCCCACCTCTCCGCCCCTTCAGCCCGTCGGCTCCGCAGTCCCCGCCCGTCACGTCCCGCCTCGCCCCGCTGTCAATCTTCCGAGACAGACCCGCCCCCTCGCCCCTCAGTACGTCGTTATTGGTGGAGGAGCCCGGCACCGCCTCCCGCCATGGCCGGAGGGCGGTTGCGATTGGGCGAGCCGACGGGTCGGCACGGCGAGTCCGGCCTCCAGCCTCGCTGCCGATTGGTCAGGACCCGCCTGACCGCGCCGGGCTCCGATTGGGCGGGGCGGGGCTGTGGGCGGTGCCGCGGTGAGCCGCTGTCATGGCGGAGCTGAGTGAGGCGCTGCTGTCGGTGTTGCCGTCCATCCGGGTGCCCAAGGCCGGCGACCGCGTCCACAAGGACGAGTGCGCCTTCTCCTTCGACACGCCGGTAAGCGCGCCCCGCCGCCGCCCCGCCCGCCCGTCCGGGCTGCTCCCGCCGCGGCCGACTCCCACCCCGCCGCCAGCCGGGGCGCCGCCCGCGCGGGGCCTCACGGGATTTGTGGTTCCTGTGTGGCCGTGACGGCCGTTCCCGGGCGGCGCGCAGGGCCCTCGCGGACTACTACGCCCGGCGTGCCCCGCGGCGCGCCACGCCCGCCCGCTGCGCGCTGGGGGCTGTAGTTCTGCGGCCGGGGCGGGCGTGGGCAGGGCGCTCGCCCCGATCAGCGGCGGCCCGGCCCGCCGGCAGCCCCTGGGGAGGGAGCGCCCCCGGCCCGAGCCCTCCGTGCCGGGGCTCGCCAGGACTTGCGGTCCAGCGGGGGGCGGGGGTCTGGCGCGTCCCGGGCCCGCCCTCGGCGGCGGGGGGCGGGCCGGGGGTCCCGCCCTGCCCGGGTCTGAGCCACCTCCCCGGCCCCGCCGCGCGGCGTGGCCCGGCAGGCGGGGGGCGAGGCGGTGCTGTGTCATTAAGATGGCAGTGGTCCCTTCTCCAGCCGTCTCCACCCCGCTGACATCCGTGCGCTTCCCCCGCTCGGCCTCAGTGGACCTGAGGGGCGGCGAAGGCAGCGGGAGGGCGAGGTGCCCCTTGGGCTTGTTGGCTGAGCCCCAGCCCGGCAGGAGGGGCTGCAGCTGGAGATGCGGGCCCTTCGAGGCAGCTCACATGGCATCCCGGCCCTCCCCGAGCTCCACAGTGATGCCGGACCCTGCACTGCCTCCTCTGTCTCAGTCCCAGCAGCTTCTGAAAGCTTCTGAGTGGTTTCCCTCCTTTCCAGCCCCCTGCATTTGAGTTCTCTGCCCCTTCAGTTTAAAAGGCGTATCTGCTGAATGAGTGTGGTGTTTTCCAGCTGCTGATGGGATGGTGGGGGCACATTCTGTGTCTGTGTCCAAGCTGCTCACGGGCTTTTGAACACAACAGCAAAAGTAAACAGTGGTCTGTTAACCTTCCTCACACTGTAGCTTGGCAGCATTCCCTATGGCACTGGCAGTCATGTGTTTGGACAGGGTGCCACAGTTTTGCTGGTAGTGATTGTACCATGCTCTGAGCTGTAAACTGTGTGTGCTAGGGGCCTTCTATGATATAAACTCTTGTCGAAACTCAGGCTTTCCTGATTTGGTAGCATCCTGCCATAAATGAACACACAAATAGTTTTTTAAATACATCATCATGACAGAAGTACCTGTTCTTCTGGGACAGCCAGGCTGGGGCTTGCCATCCTATTTCTTACTAGCTCCTTGTGGCTGCTGTGTAGGAATGAGCTGTTGCCATGACTTAATGAATAATGACTAGTCTGCCATGCCTATCCTAGCAGCTGGAATGCCATTCCTTTCCACCTCCCTTCAGTTTTGTTCCTCCTTCCTTCCAGGAGTCAGATGGCGGCTTGTATATCTGCATGAACACGTTCCTGGGCTTTGGGAAGCAGTATGTGGAGAAGCACTATCAGAAAACAGGCCAGCGGGTCTACCTGCACCTCAAAAGAACACGTAAACCGGTAAAAAAGAAAAATACATGTACTCAGACTTGTTCTGAAATTGGGAGCTGGGCTGTTTCTGTGTATTCCATCAGATACAGAGTTTTCTCTCCTGAGACACAGCTGTTGTTTTTCCTGGTGAATTGAGGGACACCAGTGCTTCAGTTCTGCTTGTGCTGAGTTGTTGTATGGATTGCCCATGTTATTTCTGCCTGGTTTCCTTCTGTTTTCAGAGTAGCTTGATTTCAATCCCTAAGGCTTGCCACAGCATTCCTGTCCCCTTAACTCTTACTTCCCTATTTCTTTTCAATGCCACAGAAGGAGGAAGACACCAACTCCAGTGCTGGGGATCCCCCAAGGAAGAAACCAACTCGCTTGGCTATTGGTAAGGAAGCACCTTTGTAGTGTATGGTCCCTGTGCTCAGCCAGTCCTCTGGAGCTGCCTGGTTTGTCTCTTCTGCTTTACTCTTCTTGGCTACTATCCCTAGCCAAATGCAGACTTCATGTTTTCCAATGTCTCTGGGGTGAGCAGTTTCTGTAAAACAGTCGTTAAGGTGGTAGTTGTGTTCTGTGTCCAAAGTTGCATCTTGTTTTCCGTGGATAAATGTGGTTTTTATCCTCTGCCATGACCCAGCATGCCTGGCTCAGCTTGGTGTGGGGATCACCAGGCTGTTGCTTAAACACAATGTGCCCAGCATGGGGCTGAAGTGAGTCTGAGAAAATTTATGTCTGAGAAAAGTAAGCTTGAAGCTCCTGGCAGATAAACTGTTTTTTAAACTCCTCTGATATAGAACTAGCATTATTGATATAAATGGGGAAGAAATTAATGGAAAAACTGCATTAATGTTTTTGGTTCATTAGGTCTTATAAGGCTGATACTGGAGAAAATACATATGAGCATTAAAACATAAAAAATATTTTAAATATTCCTTTTTTTGGAAGAACAAGGCCAGTGTTCCCATTACTGTCTTTCACCGCCTGTGAGGGCTGTCGTGACAATCAATGGAGATGCTGCTTATTTGGAGCAGTCTCAGCTGGTAATTTCTGAGCCATTATGGAGACACATAAAGGAAGGAACAGGAACATTTGGAGCAGTAACAGGTCCTTGGCTTGCTGGAAGCTGACCGCTAGAGAGAAATCCAGAATCTGGACCGCAAATGCCTTGGTTTTGGCTCACTTTTTCCCTGGTGTAGACACCCAGTGACTCGTCTACTGCCAGAGCACAAACACCACTATTAAAGCTGGCAGCTGCTCCCTGTTTTGCTGGTGAGCTGAATAGAGCCCCAAAGATCACTTTTAGCAAAAGTGAGGCTGGAATCTCTGTTTCTTCAGATAGCCAGTGCTTTTATGTATATATGAGATTATGCTGCTTTGGGAGAGGTGAGGCCTGGTGTGCATTATGAGTTATTTCTGCATCCTGAATTCTACAAAGGTCTTTCAACAAGTGTTGTCAGTGGGTCGGCAAATACCTGCCTGTGATAACAGCTTAGTGGTGTGAATGGAGCAGGAGACAATAAAGAAAGTATTAGCCCTGTGAGACAATGGTTTCAAGTTCAGAAGAAGTTTTTTTTTTTATCTTTGTTTTAGCTGAACTGTGGTGGTATAGCTAATCCTGACAAGGGAGATTTTTTTAAAGTACTAGAAAGATTTGTGAACAAAATGTAACCCTTGATCTCTCTGTACCTCACTTCCCCCTCTCAATGAAAGATCTGCAGTGCTTTGTAGATCTTTCTCCTATGCCTTCATGTTAGTTGGTGGACTTCTGTGGTGTGTAGTGCTTGGGTATCACATGGAAAAGGAGGCAGTGTACCTCAGGGCAAGCTGGTGGCTGTAGACCCTCTTCCTCATCTAGAGCCTCAGAAGGTTCACATAACCACCTGAGGGGACCTCACCAGTCTGGTTGAGTTTGTGTAGGGTTCAGGAATTGTGTAATGCCCTGGGGGATTGTCTATTGCTTTACTCTGTGAAGTGGTGACAGGAAATCTCTGGGCTGTGCTGAAGAGGCACAGAAGAAGATTATCTAGGTATGTTGCTGCATGATGCTGGTGACTGTTTTCTAAAATCACCGTGTTCACAGTTAGCAATTTGTGCATAGTGTAAAAATTGTAGATATCTAAGGAGGGAGTTGCAGGAGATATCATGGGACTGGATATTTTTGACAAGAATGTTTTAAGGAAATGCAGTAGTGATTATCAGAACTGTGTTGCACACAGGATTCTTGAGGCAGAGGCACTGAGCAGCAAAAGCGTTTATTCCCTTCAGAGATTTGTTGCAGCTGCAGATGTTCAGATATTTGTTGCAGAGATTATTGCAGTCACAGCATGCAATTTTTCCAGGAATAAATGAAATTCGGTTGAAAAACACAGGGGGTTTAGGCTGCTAATAAGCCATGTGTCTTCTGCCTGTTTCCTTTTGGGATGTTGGATATCTGCAGAAGAGAGAAGGCCAAGCTTTTCCTCTGAGTACCTATATAATCCAAAAACTGTAGGTGGGAGAAACTGCAGATGTTTTGGTGGGCATCCATGATGACTCTTTACAACTGGCAAATAACCTTTTACGTATGGATCTACAGTTTCTGGTGCAACATCTGGAAAGCACAGCTAGGTGGACATAGAAACTACTATCACTATACCTTTGCTCAGGCTTTTTCTGCAGTTCTGGATGTTCTGGTTCCAGAGGAGCTCCTAGTTCTTCTTGCTTGAGTGCAGGACTGTAGACTGTCCTTTCTGGAAAAGGCAAGAAAGAGAGGCAGGCTTCTTAAAGATGTTGATAGACCTGACCTTTGCCCTGGCTTACAGGATTATCTCTTCAAGCACATCTCCATTCATTGTCTTGAGTATTCTGGTTAAGGTTGAACACCAGTGCTTTATCTTGGCTCTCTTCTGGCCAATGCCTCTCTAGAGGAGGTTTGGTTTTCTTCCTGGTTGTAGCCAGAGTCTGGAGATTGTTTTTAAGCATCTGTAAAAAGAGCTGGGGAAAACAAAATAGGCTTATAATTGTTCCTGTGAAGTCCACAGCACCAGCAGAAGCTCTGGGATCCAGAAGTGGAAGAAAGATTGTGGATCACTGATTTAGTTCATTGTCTTAGTCATGGTGCCTTATTTCATGTAAGCTCTGGGGAAAGAAGCTTTTCAAGCTCTTTGGTTTCACCTGTTACCACAATGTTTTTTCTTCTTGTAGGTGTAGAAGGTGGATTTGACCTCACAGAAGAAAAGTTTGAATATGACGAAGATGTAAAAATAGTGATTTTGCCAGACCATTTGGATATTCCACGTGATGGGCTGGAGGGACTACCAGACATGGTCAAAGACAGGGTATGTTTGGGTGGAGGGCTGTGTTTACTGTTCATAAGGAAATGTACCATTACAGAGAAGGAAACTGCCCTGTAAAAGGGATCCTGCAGAGCTGCTGTGAAGTCTCAGCTGGCAGTCCCCCACTGCTCTGCACTTACACAGTGCTGTTTATTACAGAGTTCTGCCTTGTGTGTGACTGAGGCTCCCAGAAATCTCAACCGACTTGCCTAAAGTGTTGTGGCACTGGAAGCTTCTTGTGCCCTTACTGTGGTAGGCCAGCCCTTCATGTTTTCTCCTGCTGTCCTGATTCCAGATTGCCAGTGCCATTGAGGCCATCCTGACAGCAGATTCAGCCTCACGGAAGCAGGAGGTGCAGGCTTGGGATGGGGAGGTTCGCCGTGTTTCCAAGCACGCTTTTTCCCTGCACCAGCTTCAGAACGATGTCCGCATCCCACCGTGGTGAGCATTGCACTGGAACTTGCTGTGTCACTCGTGTCCCAGGCCCTTCTCCTGTGCTAGCCTGCAGCAATAGATGATACTTTCGTGAATCTCCGAGTGTGCCTTATCACAGTGGATTCAGGGAAGGTGGCACACTGGGGTACATCAGGATTCTCAGTGTTCCGTCGTAAAAGAGGAATGAGATCGCTTATACTACAGATATTGCAGTGGGCAGCAATGGCGAGGGCTTGGGAGGTAGAACCCAGAGGTTTTCCCTCTGATCTCTTTTTCTCTGTTCCTTGTCAATAGTGGCTGGAAGTGCAGCAAGTGTGACATGAAGGAGAACCTGTGGCTGAACATGACCGACGGAGCCATCCTCTGTGGTCGGCGCTACTTCGACGGCAGTGGTGGCAACAACCACGCCGTGGAGCACTACCGAGAAACCGGCTACCCGCTGGCTGTGAAACTGGGAACAATCACTCCTGATGGGGCTGGTGAGAAGGGGGATCCTCCCAGGGTTAGGGGTGCAAGGCACCTCTCAGGCTGACGCAGATCTCTTGCAGGTATCAGGGTGGAGCTGGCCATCTTGTGACCTGGAACACGCAGTGTCGTCCCATTGTGAACTTTGCCACTCTGACCTGCTTCTTGTGTGAGGCAAAGAGCGAGCTGATAAAAAAAGCCTTGCCTTCCTCTGCCCCTCCCTTGTAATTGGGAGCCTTTAGAATAGTTACCCAGGTTGCCATCTGATTTTCTGTGTTGGGGTGTTTATCAAAGAAGTGTGTGTTCAAATCCTGAGCAGAGAGTATATAGCACAGTAACCCACTTTCCTTACTCCTGGCATAAGTGTACCTCAGTACCCTGGTCGGTGACAAAGTTGTCTCATCACATGTTTAGGAGGAATCCCAGTATTCTGTCTGTTATGTTATTCTGCTGAGAAAGGGCAGAAAGTCCAATGGCTCAGTTTGTCAAAACTCCCAGTTCTGAGTGCTTTCTTCATCCAGCCGTGAATTTGAGATCACAGGCCATTATAAGGTCCTTTTTTTCTGTTTTCCTGCATAGATGTCTACTCCTATGATGAGGATGACATGGTGTTGGATCCCAACCTGGCAGAACACCTGGCACACTTTGGGATTGACATGCTCAAGATGCAGAAGGTGAGGAGGAAGTGGTGTCCTCCATAGGCTCAGAGGGAGACAGAAGCAGCTCTGAGGTGTCTTTGCTAGATTCCAGCTTTCTGTGGCTATGCAGAACCATTCCTGGTCAAGAAACCCTGGGGTTTTTTTGTCACACAGAGAGTTGTCTCATCTCTTCTGCCTCTCTTCTTTGATTGCCTTTTTTGCCTTTCTTTCATGTCCCTCACATTTATTTCCCTGGGGTTATGTGTCTGTACTACAGGCAGGGAGGCTCCCAGGTGCCGAGATCTTTTTGTTAGTGTGTAGTTTCCATGGGAAACTAACTTTCTAGGGAATGATTCAGATGTCTCCCATATTTCTTTTCCTTCCTCTTTCTGTCCCAGGTATTCACATATATGGGAACAACTCTTGTTTCTTCCTCCTCTACTTACAGAATAAAACAGAGTGGATTTGAGTCTGTTTCTTTACAGCACTGCACTTTTCACACCTCTGATGTTGCCTTGAGTCTTCTTTGAGGATTTTGCTGTTCTTTCCCTCCGCAGACAGACAAGACGATGACAGAACTGGAAATTGACATGAACCAGCGCATTGGCGAGTGGGAGCTCATCCAGGAGTCTGGTGTTCAGCTCAAGCCCCTCTATGGGCCTGGCTACACTGGTATCCGTAACCTGGGCAACAGTTGCTACCTCAATTCTGTGATGCAGGTGCTGTTCAGTATCCCAGACTTCCAGAGAAAGTAAGTGAGCTTAATCACTCCTTTCCATTAGTCTGGGATCAGTACAAAGGTTCCCTAGAGCTGGGAGCTTCTTTGGCAGTAATGATGCTCAGAACTGCATTTTTACCAGATGAAGCTGCATATCCCTTAGATTGCTCCGTTTTGCTCTGCAGGTATGTGGACAAGCTGGAGAAGATATTCCAAAGTGCACCTTCGGACCCCACACAGGATTTCAGCACACAAGTGTACGTAGAATTTTGGTGAGAGAAGGAAGGCTGGGGCTGCCCGGATGCATCCCCTCTGTGCTGCTTTGCTCCAGGGTTCTCCCTCAAGCCTCACCTCTTTCCTTGCCTGTCACCAGAGACATTGATCCTCAGTGATCAATAAGGACCTAAACCAAGGAAGTTCAGCTGAATGCCCTAGATGGAGAGGAGAGAGTGCACCCTGTTTTCATGAGAGGCTCTGAAATGTATTACGTGTGTTATGCCTGTTAAACTGGGGGTATTTCTGGGAGGCAGCTTCTGTCTGCGTAACAGAAGAAAACAGTTAAAAGGGGCTTGCTGTCTATAGTGGAGGGAGATGGCAAAGAGCAAGGGGATAAGTAGGTTTAGGCAGCTTTGTTCTCAGTAGATAATTTATGTATGCTTAAAGAGGCTTCCCTCAAGAGGTACTGTTCAGGAGAATATACAGAAGCAGGAACACAAGATTTGGGAGGGGGTTGCATTTCCAGTACGTCAAGTCTGTGCTGCAGCTGCTCTCAAACAAGGATGTGGAAGTTTGGGGTGGAGGAATGGAAGGTAGCAAGGACAGGGAGTTCAGTGGTACAGAAGGATTCTAAATTTGGACAGCCTGGAGTGAGGTGTTCACTGAGAGGGGATTAAGGTGAGACAGGCAGAAAGATTATTGCCTGGGGAAAGGGAGGAACTGGTAAGGTTTGGTTCCAGACAAATGGCAATATGGCAATAATGATGGGGAAGGACTGGAGTGAAATGGAATAGCAGGAGGGTCTGGCCATAGGAGGAAATCGCTGAACACGTACTGTTGTCCATTAAGTGCCTGATGCAGTCAGTCTTTCCTCTGGGAAAACGTCATCAGTCTGCTCACAGCAGTGCTATTTCTGGCTCAGACAATTTCTCTGTGCCCTGTTGTCTCCTGCACAGTCAGACACTGCTCCGTTCCCCCGTCAGGCTGCAGCTCAGCTTGGCTGTTGCGCAGCTGCTCTGTGGCTCAGCACCAGCTGTTCCTTCTTGTTCTGCTCAGTGTGCAAGCAGTGGTTGAGATTGGCACCCTAAAGCCCTGGTAACTTTGAAGTCAGTGATGTCTCCTGGGGCCAGAGAGCAGACCACAATAAGATAATCTTGCCTGGTGCAGCAGAGAAAGCTGTTATCTGTGGGACTCACAGTCCATGGCAGTATGAAAGCTGGATGGGTTGATGTGGCTGCTGGAGAATGTGAGATTGAAGAAACATTAATACTAACAGTGACTTTGTCATTCCAGAGCCAAACTGGGCCATGGACTGCTTTCTGGGGAGTATTCAAGGCCAGCCTCTGCAGATGGGGAGCAGCAGTCTGATCAGAAGGTGAGGCTTGGATACGGCATCCTCTTGATGCGTGTGTTGCGTGAGGTATTGTGTATGCCACATGTCTTCTTTCTGAAGACGTGTGCTGGGGCTTGGTCCGAGGCCTGTCACCTGAAGAAAAGCATGGCTAAGGACAGAGTGCTACGTGCCAGGACACATGCTTGGCAAATTATATATTAACCACCTTCCTCTTCCACATTGTTCTTTGCAGGGTATGCAAAATGGCATTGCTCCACGCATGTTCAAGTCCCTCATCGGAAAGGGGCACCCAGAATTTTCCACTAACCGACAGCAGGATGCCCAGGAATTCTTTCTGCACTTCATCAACATGGTGGAGGTAATGGTTGAGTCTATCTGGCAAATCATGGAAAAGTCCAGCTTGATTTTCTTCCCACAGCCAGGGGTGAGGAGTGAGGTGAGAAGCTGGCAACCGGAGCAGAGAGAGGGAGAGAACACAGGGAAATGGGCCATCTAGCACCTGCCAGGGTGGAGAAGGAGAGGTGCTTGGCCATGTTTTCAGGGCTGATTCCATGAGAAATCTTTTCTGGGAGTGGCACAGCTGGAGGTGTGAAGTTTCTTCTGTAGGAGCAGGAATGCCATGGCTTCCTGGAGTACAGAAGCTGGCTTTAGTTTCCTCTTTGCTGTCTTTTCCAAGGTACTGGGTACAGAAGTGACTACTCTTCAGCCACGTGCTGTGTGACATCACTGTTACTGCAGATCATTTTTTGTGCCATTCTGATATTACGTCTGTGCTTCTAATTTCTCCTTCAGAGGAACTGCCGCAGCTCGGAGAACCCTAACGAGGTCTTCCGTTTTCTGGTGGAGGAGAAGCTGAAGTGCCTGGCCACAGAAAAGGTGAAATATACCCAGCGTGTGGACTATATTATGCAGCTGCCTGTGCCCATGGATGCTGCACTCAACAAAGGTCAGTAATATGCCAGCACCAGAACGGTAGCAAGCCCTATGTTTGTATATTGTACTATTCCTACAGAACTCCTTAAATGAAAGAGGGACTTCTTTGCCACTTCTGAGGCCAGATCCTTCTCCTGCTTTTGTGGGATCGGGCTGATATCTTCAGAGGTGGTGTGACATGGTGATGTCCCTCTAGAGCCTTTCCCTCGGCCACCACAAGCTGGGCTGTGATTCAGCAGCAAACCAGGAGTGACTGCAGTAGCAGAACTGTGCTCTGGAAGCTGTGCTCCGTTCTTGACGGCGTGTATCTAAAGGCCTGCTCTGCCTCTGGGTGTAGCTCACACCAGTCACTTTGTAGGTACCTGGAGGTGGTCCTTGACTCCTCTGCTTTATTCTCTTTATTGTCTAGATGAACTGCTGGAGTATGAGGAGAAGAAGAGGCAGGCAGAGGAGGAGAAGCAGCCGCTGCCTGAGCTGGTGCGAGCCAAGGTGCCTTTCAGCTCCTGCCTAGAGGCCTATGGAGCTCCAGAGCAGGTGGATGATTTCTGGAGCACAGCCTTGCAGGCCAAGTCTGTGGCTCTCAAGTAAGTTTGTGTCAGCTAAGCTGTGATGAACTGGCCATAGCTGCATCTCTGGGGACTTCTTGTAGTGGCTTGGGGGAAGAACATTACTGAAGCTCTGCAGTCCTCCACACCCTGGGTCCATAGAACACTGAGGCAGAGAGGGGATCAGTGCTAGTGAAGCCATTCAGCTGCTGAGAGGCTACAAAAACACAGTGATATTTCAGAAAACTAGTAGCTTTTCTTGTAGATTTAAAATTTAGCTTTGAAATCTGTACTGACTGTATGGTGACACTGATCTTGCACTATCTCTAAAATTTCTTCAAGTTTTCAACTGTGAATATTTGAGCAGAACACTGAGTGTAACAGATGCATGAGTTCTTTGAAAGAATGCTAGTTTAAATGCTAGTAGCAAGGTTTAAAAAACAGCTTTAATTTTTCTCACTGCTTGTAGCACATGCAACAGTGCAAAGCTGAAGTGACAAGACTACAAATGTAAGCAGCTTTCTGCTGTGATGCTGAGCATTCTTTTGTAATGAAAGTCATCAAAGAGTTGGAAGTGCTTTTCTATACTCCATTATTAATGGCGTAATTAATTAATTAAATTATTAAACAAATACTCCATTATTAAGCAATAGCTACTATAAACAAACATCACATTGAAAAGTAACATTTTGTTTTAATTTTTACTGAGTTGTATTCAAACACTTTACTGTCACTTAATTTAGTTCTCCAGCATGTTGCAATTATCACCTGGTAATGAGTATCTGTCTCACTTACAGATGCTTCTCCCCTTACAAACGTTCCCCTCTGTTTCATAGATTCCAGACACTTTCTCTCTCAAATTGTCTAACTAAATAATGTTTAATCAAATTCAGTTAACTTAAAATTCACTGCTTCTGTTTCATATCCAAAAAAGTGCTCTTGACAGTTCCTGCAGGTGTATCTGTTGGTCTAATAAAAGATGTTATTTCCATTACATTCCTTAAGGATTAGACTTTTAATTAAACAAAATCTGACCAGGCTTGTAAAATACAGGATTTAAAGGTAGAGAATACGTACTATTTTTTCTCATCTCCAAGATTTGCATTCCATCTCATTTTGTCAGGGCTTCTGCCTTAGAAATGGTTCTGTGTTTGAGGAGCTTTAAGCTCAGCACAGAAGAGCTGCACAGACAGGTGTATCCCCCAGCTTGCTCAGGACACGGCTCTGTCCTACTCACTGGTTTCTTGGATCAGCTAGATACCCTCAATCTTTGCTGACAAGGTATTTACAAATATTACGTGTCTCTTTCAGAACGACGCGGTTCGCCTCTTTCCCAGATTATCTGGTCATCCAGATCAAGAAGTTCACTTTTGGTCTGGACTGGGTGCCCAAAAAGCTCGGTAAGGAGGATGAGAAGTACAGAGCACATAGGTACTGGGAGTCACATATGGATGTTGTGGTCATTACTGCCAGGAGGAAAGTAACTATCCCAAAAGTTGCTGCAGGCCTCCCCAGGCACTTACCCTTCTAGATCTCCCAGCCGAGTCCTTTGTTTCTGCCCCTGCAAGGAGGCTGAGCAAGTCCATATCTTGCAGATGTTTCCATTGAAATGCCAGAGGAGCTGGATATCTCTGCACTGCAGGGAACGGGGCTGCAGGAAGGAGAAGAAGAAATGCCAGACATTGCACCCCCACTGGTGACACCAGATGAGCCCAAAGGTAGCCTGGGGTTCTATGGCAACGAGGACGACGACTCCTTCTGCTCCCCTCACTTCTCCTCTCCGACATGTTAGTGATTCTCCTCCTCTCTTCCTGATGCCTGACTCATTTCCTTGCTCTCCTTGCCTTGTGTCCCATGCTAGCAGTTTCCCACTTGCTCAGACTTTCCCTGTCCTTTTGTCAGCGATTGCCAGCTGCCTCCCTTGCATGCCTGTTATGCAAGGGTGTTATGCAAGGGGGTTTGTTGATTCCTGTTCTGTGCAAGATGGGGTGGCATGTCCGGTGCATTTAGAGGAGGCAGAGCTGGGATTTATACAGGATTTAATTGGTAAGGGTATTTAATTTTCACAAACAACAGTGGGAGGTCGGGTTCAGAGTCTAGGGAAGAGCCAATGCTCCCGAGTTGATGGGTTGAATAATTTTGTATTTTGCCTGTATGTGAGACTGCTCTTCTGAAGAAGAAAGGTGGCTGAGAAAAGCCAAGAGATGGAACTTGGTGTGAAATAAATCTAGGAGGCGGTGGCTTTGGAGGCTGTGTGACACGAGATGAAATGGAGCCAGCAGGGATGGGTGGGCGTGGGTGGCTCTAACTTCTGTCTCCCCACAGCACCCATGCTGGATGAGTCGGTGATTATCCAGCTAGTGGAAATGGGCTTTCCCATGGATGCCTGCCGCAAAGCCGTGTATTACACAGGGAATAGCGGGGTTGAGGCGGCCATGAACTGGGTCATGTCGCATATGGACGATCCAGGTATGAGGCTGTGGCCGTGGTGAAGCTTACTGCTTTTGGACTGTTCTTGTGTCCTGCTACCACAGTGGAAAACTGAAGTAGTTTGGACTTGGGCTGTACCCTTTTGGAGAGATCTGATTACTCTGAGCTGTGTTGTGTTTCCTGCTGCAGACTTTGCTAACCCATTAGTTCTCCCTGGATCCAGTGGGCCAGGGTCAACTATTGCCTGCCCAGACCCTCCTTCAGAAGACAGTGTGGCCACCATTGTCTCCATGGGCTTCTCCCGGGACCAGGCAATGAAAGCGCTTAGAGCCACGGTGAGAGGCACGGGTGACATCAGAGTGCAAGGATTTCCTCAGGGACAGGAATTCTCAAGTTCACTGTCTTCTTCTCCCTTCCAGAACAACAGTCTGGAGCGTGCTGTGGATTGGATCTTTAGTCACATTGATGACCTCGATGCAGAAGCTGCTATGGATATCTCAGAGGGGCGCTCGGCAGCCGAGTCCATCTCTGAATCCGTCCCCGTGGGTCCCAAAGTGCGCGATGGGCCTGGAAGTGAGTTCCAAGCCATAGGAACGTGGATTTTGGGCTGCAAACTCAACAGTACTTTGTCATTCCTGATCCATGCAGTACTGCAGGTTTTAGCAGCAGCAGCTATTACAGAGCTGGACTGCTTGTAGAGGTGGAAGCAGGGAGGAAGAGGGAAGGAATGGCAAAGTAGTCTAGGCCCTTCAGGCTGGATGAGGATACCTGGAAGCCAATAAGAGAGAGGTTGGGCAAGTGCCGTCAAGTGAAAGACAGAAGGGCAGTGCTGATTTTGTCCAGTGGACAGTCTGGGAGGGTTTTTTCCCCTTTTGGTTCCCACTGAAAAAACAGTTCCTGTCTGTGCACAGAATTTGTCCCAGTGGTGCTTGGCTGCTGGGTGCCATAGGGAGGCAAAATCCCTGCTTTATCCATCTACCATCCGTGGCCTTAATAAAAAGCTGAAAGAGAGAAGGCTAAATGAAAGTTGGCATCTCCCATTTCCCTCTATGTTTGGCCTTAAGACCAATCATAGTCACACTTAATGGGGATCCAGTTCTAAATTATTACCCAGCAGAGCTTCCTTCAGGGAAGGATCCTTCTCTAGACAGGGCCTTGCACAGGGCATTAGGGAGTAAGACATCTCTCCTCTTTCCCTGACAATCCTCTCTTCCCTCCTTCTTTCAAGAATATCAGCTGTTTGCCTTCATCAGCCACATGGGCACTTCAACTATGTGTGGACATTATGTTTGTCACATCAAGAAAGATGGCAGGTAAGGATTTCCACAGTGTAAGGGAACGGAGGTACTGATTTAAATCCCCATCCTGTCCCTTTCTTTAGAGGTCTTGGGGGGTTGGGGCTGAGAGCAGGTGAGTGCAGTCGAGTTGTGTCTTAACCGTGGAAGGGCATTCCTGAGCTCCTCTTGTGCCTGTTGCAGGTGGGTGATCTACAACGACCAGAAAGTCTGTGCTTCTGAGAAGCCCCCCAAGGACCTGGGCTACATCTACTTCTATCAGCGGATTCCCAGCTAGAACATCCTCTTGCTGTGTGTGGTGGGGGGAGAGTGGGCTGAAGGTGTGGGGGGGAAAGGGGTGGGGGCAGTGAGGGTGGGAGCAGGGTCCTTCTCTTCCCTGCTCCTTTCCCCAGTCCCTTCACGGCCTCTCTGTGGAGACACGGGGAGACAAGAGTTCACTGACTAATCGACTGGGGGCTGGAGCCCCCGTGGACATGAGTGAAGGGGGTTTGGGGGGTTGGGAATATCTGTTTCTATAGGAAATGTCCTCACTGTCCTCACCCCCGTGACACACAGCCCTAGTGCTTCGCTGCTTGGTGGGATGATGCCGCCTCCTTGCTGTCCGGAAGGAGAGGAGGGGGCTTGTGTGTACGTGTGGCTTGTGAATGGGGGGGTTCCTCCTGCCCGCCTTGTCCGGCGGGGGTGTGGGGCGGGCAGCAAGGCGGGCCACGAGCAGCGCTTCCCCTTGTGTGCCCTTGACATGCCAAAATACACGAGGGACAAAATAAAAGTGGAAATACCCCCTGGCTGCTGTCTGACCCCCGCCTGCTGCGGGAGAGCGCGGGTGGGGCAAGGGGCGGGGCCCTGCCGGGGGCGTGGTTTGGGGCGGGGCACGCAGGGGGCGTGGTCTCGCCGCCGCCGGGTTATAAAAGGGGCGCCGGTCTCCACTCGCGCTGCCGCCGCTGACCTTCGCGTCTCCTCCGGTGCCGGCCCCGCTCCCGCTCGTTCCCGCCATGGCGCCCAGGAAGTTCTTCGTGGGGGGCAACTGGAAGATGAACGGCGACAAGAAGAGCCTGGGCGAGCTCATCCACACGCTGAACAGCGCCAAGCTCTCCGCCGACACCGGTGAGGGCGCGGCCCGCACGTAGCGCACGTCCCACACGGCCCTGCGGAGCGGGGGACCGGGCCCGGGCCCGGGCGGGGGAGCGGCAAATGTCAGAGGGCGGCGGGGGCCTAAATATAACCCCGCGGCAGCGGCGCTAAATATACCCGCGAAACCGGATCCGGGTTCCCGCAGGCCCGGCCGCCACGTGCGGCCGACCCCCGGGAGCGGGCGGCCCGGGGCCCCGCGCCTCCCTTCGGCCTGCCCCGCACCCGGGAGCGGGGCTCTCGGAGCACCGCGCCGCAGCCGAGCTGCGCTGCCCCCGCCCCGCCGCCGTGCCCGCTTACAGCCCCAGGCGCAACCTGGTGCGGCTCTGCCCGGCTCGGCCGGGTCCAGGCTGCAGGGTGGGATTCTCTCCCGATCTTTTATCCCGGCACTTTCTAAGGGACCCCTGTGACCTGGCCGTCGGCCTGATATCGTGTGTCTAGCCCCCTGGAAAGGGCTTTCCTCCCTGCTGTTGAGTTATCGGATAGCAGGGATTGTCCTGTGGCAGAGGGCCCCCCAAATGTCAGTGAGGAGGGGCGGGCTGCGCCTTCCCAGGCGAGAGGAATGACCTCTTAGGGCTGGAATTAGTGGCTGGGTACAGTTTCTGCCCTTCTCCCGTCACAAGGGTAACAGGGTGCTTTGCCTTGCAGAGGTGGTTTGTGGAGCCCCTGCCATCTACCTAGACTTTGCCCGTCAGAAGCTCGATGCAAAGATTGGAGTGGCAGCACAGAACTGTTACAAGGTACCAAAGGGAGCTTTCACAGGAGAGATCAGGTGAGCCCCAGAGAGTAAAGTTAGAAGGTGCCTCTGGGATGTGAATTTCCTCCTGTGAGTCATCTCCTTTCTCCCCAGCCCAGCAATGATCAAGGATATTGGAGCTGCATGGGTGATCCTAGGCCACTCAGAGCGAAGGCATGTTTTTGGAGAGTCTGATGAGGTGAGTGGCCTCATACACTGGAGACCTGGTCCAGCTAAGATGGGTCTGCAAAGGCTGGAAAAGTGAGTAATTAAAACAGACCTCTAACCTGTTTTATTGGCCACCTTGTTTCTTTTCCATTCCCAGCTGATTGGGCAGAAGGTGGCTCATGCTCTGGCTGAGGGCCTTGGAGTCATTGCTTGTATTGGAGAGAAGCTGGATGAGAGAGAAGCTGGCATAACAGAGAAGGTGGTTTTTGAACAGACCAAGGCTATTGCTGGTAAGAGGAAAAAGAGATGGTTGGTTTGGGGTTTTTTAGCCATTTTCCAGCTCTCCTCTTCCCACTATGTAGGTATTGTGCTCACCTCTACCTTCTCCCTCCTCCCTAGATAATGTGAAGGACTGGAGTAAAGTGGTTCTTGCCTACGAGCCAGTTTGGGCTATTGGAACTGGTAAAACTGCAACTCCCCAACAGGTATGAGCAGGGGAGGTGGCTGATTAAATGACCAACTGACCCTTCCCCCTCAGGAAACCTCCCTGAAGAGTCTTACTGAGAATCTCCTGGAGATTCTTAGAGACTATTTGTTCCCATGTCTTTGGAAGGGATCTGTGTGCAGAATGGCTCAGGCCTCAGTGTGACTCTTGCTTTGTATTGCAGGCTCAGGAAGTTCATGAGAAGCTGCGGGGGTGGCTGAAAAGCCACGTGTCTGATGCCGTTGCTCAGTCAACTAGGATTATCTATGGAGGTGAGTCTGGAGCGACTTTCCAGGGCAGGAAGTGCTTAGTTTGTCTACCTGTTGCTGTAGTTGGTATATCGTTCTCTCCCTGGCAAGGAAACTCTTGATCTTGAGAGCATAAAGAATCACCTTCTAGCTTGTTTGGGTAGCTTGCTTGGATAAGTGGGAGACAGTCTTGCTGTCTGCAAGAGGTGGCTGGTGCCTTGCTAGTCCTGCCTTTGCCCTAGTTCCATTTTCCTAGAGCTGGCACATCTGACCTTAAGACACTGCTCCCTCCTTAGGTTCTGTCACTGGCAGCAACTGTAAGGAGCTGGCTTCTCAGCATGATGTGGATGGCTTCCTTGTTGGTGGCGCTTCTCTCAAGCCAGAGTTTGTGGATATTATCAATGCCAAACACTGAAGCACCCCATGAGGAGCTGTCCCTTGTGGTTAAGAAATGGAAGCAAGAAGGGACCTTTTGTTGCACACGTCTCAGTACGGAGGCCTCCCTCGAGGCTGTCCCCCTCCACAGCCATTGTTCTAGATGTTCTGCTAACCACCCCCACCACCTCGGAGTCCTGTTAGCAGGAGCCTGTCTCAGCAGAGTCTTGACAGTCTCCTCTCTGAGCTGAATCCTCAGTTTCCCGTTGACCTGTTCAGAGCCCGCAGCCCACCTGGCCAGTATCTCTCCCTTTCCCTGCAGCCCTGCAGGGAGAGGGGGCCGCTGGTGCTGCGGGGAGGAAAAAGGAACCACAGTCTCTTGCATCCTTCAGCTCCATCAGCAAGGAACCTGTCAGCTTAGACCCTTGTGAGATGTCTTCCTCACCTGTGTCCCGTACTGAACAATAAACGAAAAACAGAAAAAGCAAAGATGTGTCCTGGATCTTATTTGGAAGCATCTCGGGGACAAGCAGCATGGAGAACTTACTGCTTTTGGAGGTGGCTGAATGCAGAGAGGGTTTTGTGGGCTTTTCCCTGAGAGCCCACTGTTATCCCAATAGGCACTGCACAGGTTCAACTCCAGTAGCTGCTGGAGCACCTGGCTGTTCCACCAGTGAGCCAGCTTCCCTGGCAGGCTCAGTAATGTGCTCATCTCTGCTCTTTGCCTGTAAGGACTGGTAATTGACTTTGCTCATTAAATGTAGAGTTGGGCAGCTCAGACTGCAGGGAAGGATTTTATTTAGGCCCTGTGTTGGGGCAGTGCTTGCTGCCTGCTTTCAGCCATGTGCTGCTGGGTGAGGAAGCAAGACTTGATGTTACTTCCCAGCTGCTGGTTTTGTTTTTTTTTGGTAGTACTGAGGATGATGAAAAAGAAGTGGCTCACAAGGAGGAGCTTATTTGTGAGGCGGTACATCCTTGGGAGCCTATGGGCAGTGTTCCAGCTGCTAGTGCTAGCATCACCTGAGGGATTAGGGGCCGGAGCTGAGGAGCAAGGAGGAAAAAGCCTGATGCAGTGGGGACTCCTGCCCTGCTACTGCTGGGACAGCTTCCTGCTGCCCAGCTGGATGGGAGGGATCTCCTTCCTAGGATATCAGGTGGCTTGAGAAGGAAGAGCCTGACAGCAGCAAGGAGGTGGCAGCTCCCAGCTCTGTATGTGTGCAGAGTGATGTAGAAAGGAGAAGGATAATTCAAAGGCAAAAAAAAAAAAATTCTGAAAACTGTTTTCTACAGCCAGAGCACGTGTTTCTGAGAGGCTGCTGGGCCATGGCTGTAGTTTGGGGCTGTTGGGTCATACAGAGCAGAGCAGCAGTGATGCAGCAGGGGCACACAGTGGTCCTAAGGCTGCAGGGACTGGGTACAATCACTCAGGGCTGGGCCACTGGCTGCAGCTCTGCTGCCAGCTCCTGCCCAGCCCTGCCCACAGCACAAGAGCCCAGGAGAGTGACCTACATAGAAGAAAACAGATGGGAGCTGGGCATTGATCTTGCTGCTTTGAGAGAATGCAGGGGCATGAAAACATTCATTTAATGAGGAATAAACTCATGGAAAATAATTTCTATATCAGCAGGAGTGCCAGATCTTGTTTCTCTTCTTTTTGTCTGCTTCCTGGCAAGACTGCAGCTTTCTGGAGTGGAAATACTGCCAGATCCCCACAAGAAATTGTAGTGGTTGGATGTAAAACAGGTTGCTGCTGGAGAAGAATGCACTGTGCCAGATGTGACAGCCTGAGAGAGGCTGTGATGGCTCTGCATCCTCAGCCCCAAACAATAGCCAGGCTGAGCTTGTATTCCCAGTAGGCACCACACACATGTTGGACTCAATGATCCTTGTGGGTATCCCTTTAAACTCAGAATATTCTGTTACTCTGAATATATTGGACTTAAACATAGCCATGGCTGGCCACACAGATCCATCCACACAGAGCACTGCCACACAGCACTGGCAGCCTCATCCCACACTCTGCTCCAGCTGAGCAGGACGGAGGTGCACTAGTGAGTGTCCGTGTATATCTGTGTATTTACAGAAGTATTTACACACGTGTACAGTGTCTCCTTCCAGCAGCTGGCCTCAGGCAGTGCCCAGAAGCTGCCCCTCAATCCCAGCCCCTCCAGCCCCCAGCAGCAGCTCCCTGTGGTGCTCTGACCACGAGTTCCTCACGCAGGGCAAAGTGCAAAAGGAGTTTCATGGGAAGACCCGACAGGCTGCGCTGATCAGGTGCAGGACATGGACAAATCATCACAAACCATTGACACATGACTGGCCCTTTTATTCCTGTATGCTGTATTTGTTTCTCTGTGTGACCTAGATCACCCCTGGCTCCTGCCCTAATCACTCTTAATGAGTCCTGTGCAATCCCCAAAAGCTCTTCCCCTGCGTCTCGTCCTGTGTCCCACACCCCTGGAGACAGCTACACCTCTAATCCTAAAGGTGCTCTGGGGCTGAGGCTCCTGGGATGGGGCTGGACAGGGTGTTCCTTTCTCTGAGTCCTTAATTCGTGTTCCCACCTGCCACTGTGCTCCTCAAAATGGGTCTTTATTGGACTGATGGCTCCTGGAAGTGGATACTGCCTGGGCTCCCCCTC